AGCGGGCGCGCGGGGCGGCGGGCGGCGCGGGGCCGCGGCAGGCGGCGGGTCCCCGCCCGCGGCGCCTCCTGGCATTTTCTAGGAACGGGAGGGGGCGGGAGGCGCGCGGCGGCGGCGGCGGCGGCGGGGCGCGCTCTCCCGCCCGCCTGTTGACGGCGGCCGAGGCGGCATTGTATCGCGCCCGCGTCGCCGGCTGTTTTGGACCGGCAGGGGGAGGAGGAGCCGAGGGTAGTAAGTCAGTGGCGCGGCGGGGGGAGCGCGGCGCGAGCCGCCGCAGCTGTCAGGCCCGCCCGCCCGGCCTCCGGCCCCTGCCCGCCGCGGCCCCGCCGCCAGCGCCCCGGAACGAGGCAGCCGGGCGCCCGGGCGCAGCCGTGCCCGGGGGAGCTCGCGGCTCCCGAGGGGGACACCTTGCAAACCGCCGCCCCCGCCCCCAACGTCCCACAACACACGTCCACACCTGTCCGCGAACCCCCAGGGCTCCACCCAGGAGGCGAGTTCAAGGAAGGGACAGCTCGCTGCACCTCCCCGCGCCGCGGCCCCCGGGTCCTCGCAGTTCGCTCAGCCACAGGGTGCTGGGGAGGCGAGCGGCGCGGAGAGGGCGGCGGGCGGCGCTCCCGGACTCCCCCCGGTGCCCGCGGGAGGGGACCCGGCGTCCGGGCGGCCGCGGGCCGGGTGAGGGTGTGCAGGCGGTCCGAGGAAGCCGGCCGGGCGGCGGGGTCAGGGCACACCTCCGCCCTGGGGCCACGGGCACGCAGCGTCTCCCCCGCGTGCTCCTGCACACATGCAAGTTTGCAACTTGGGCGAAGTTCCTGCCGGGCTGGGGTCCAGGTGGTTTTGTGTGTGGCTCCACGAGGTGCTGCTCGCATCCCGCGGGTCCAGCCCCTGCTGTCACTGTCTCCAGGAAGGAGAGGGGCTGAAGCTTCCAGCCCCGGACACCCAGCCGCGACTCGCAGCGGGCTCGTGGGCGGCCAGGCGACGTGCTCCTGGATTTTCACCTTCGCTGTCTAGAGTCGTAGTCTCCGCCTGCTCATTTCATCTGCTGAGTGTATTTAACTAAAAAGGGTAATTACTTTAGATAAAATTCCTTCCCTGCCTGGTGGGAATCTTGGCGGAGACGATGCCTAAAGAGATTTTCTTCCTTCCTTCCTTCCTTCCTTCCTTCCTTCCTTCCTTCCTTCCTTCCTTCCTTCCTTCCTTCCTTCCTTCCTTCCTTCTTTGCTTTTGTGTGTTTAAGAATAAAATTAGAGATGCTTACTCTAGTAACGGTTTTCTCAGATCATTAAAATGTAACATGTAGGAAATTGTTGCGCCACTAAAGCTCGGGCTGGCTGGAAACGCTGGGCTCGAACCGCGATTGCCTCTCCTGTGGTAGAGATGGCTATTTCCGCGAGGCAGCGGGCGACTTGCTTAAAACCGTGAGGTCATCCCGTCCTGAGCCTCCAGCAGCTTACCAGTGGCCAGCCTTTTTCATTCTCGCAGGTAATAAACGTGGTGGCGGGGAGAGACATCTTGTTAGAATTAGGCTGGCTAATTCAGTGTTCCAGCCACAATGCTGCAGTGAAAGGCCTGTCAGTCAGTTTTCCAGGCGCTTATGATCGCCACGAAACTTTGAATGGCTTCTGGTGTTCTGTTCCTTAAAACGACTGATTACCCACTTTGGTGCTATTTGCCATTTTTGAAACCCCAAATCATTCAAATGAAGGCGGGTACCAGTCTTGGGGCGTGTAATGTTTACATTTTGTGTTTTAGGGGGCTTCAGGTTTGCTGCGTGGTAATCTAAATGTTTGAGTAAATTCTTCTGGTATCTGTTCTGCAAGTGGGTTGCAATGTCAGTTCTTAGGGATCTGTTTTCCTGAGGTATGTGATGTCTAAGACCTAGCTAGATTGTAAACACTCCTGTTAGTTCTTCATGCTTTGCATGTTGTAGCTCAGAATCTGCCAAGGAACAGGAGTGAGGCAGAGAGGGTTGGAGGGAATAAAACATCCCCTCATTTACTCTCCGTGCTACCTGTGTCTGGGAGGATGCCATGTATTTTCTTCCTATTGAATTATGCCCTCAGACTCGGAATCTTGAGGCAGTCCCTTTCCAGCCACTCACCTCTGGCTGCTGTGTGAGGGGCTTAATTATTTGCAACCTGCCTTGAAATCCCAGGATGAAAGGCACTGAATAAGTGCAAAGTATTGTTATTCAGATATGGAATTTAATGATCCATTACAGTTCATCAGGAAAATGCACTTTGCCGTGATGGGAGGAAATGTTTCCACCTGATAGAGGGTAATAATAAGTGCTTAAAAGTAGGCTCAGATTACAGATGAGACAATTAACTCCAGCCATGTGCTCTTCAATTTGTTGCAATTCATTTTGTGATCAAAGTGAGTTACAGAGAGCCAGATGGTCAGGTTCACGTTCAAATCTCTCTCAAGCCAGCCCTGCACTTGTGCCTACCGTCAGCACGCCGATGGGACTTGGTAATTCATTAGTGATTGTGGACTGTCCCTCAGAATTTGTAATCCAGGCTCCTATGATGCCAACAGAAGGGCCCAGGCCAATCAGTTTTGTTGGGAGCAGTTTAATTTTCCTTGGATTAGCATCTTGTTTAGCATCTCTGGTGTGGATCCAGTCTTAATAAGGAAGAAAGAGACCCTTGGTCTCTTAGGCTCTGCTATTGAACTACACGGCTCTGGGTTTTAAACCTTGGATTTCAGGGATATGGCATCTGGTTTGTTTCAAATGCTGGCCTGACTGTTGAATGAATGAGTCAGTGCTTATGTACATTAGCACCTTGTTGTTTCTCGGGGGAGGGGGCTGACGGAGGGGGCTAGAAAGAGAACGGTCTCGGTCTCAGAGGTGGGGGACCAGGGCATCTGCACCCTGCTCTGCCCTGCTCTGCTCAGACTGCCTCACACCTGCTGTAAAATTATGTCTTTGCCCTCTCAAAACCTGAAATCACAAACAAAGGGGCCTCCTTTCTGCCTTCCACTGCACCCCTCAGACTGTGTATCTGGTCCTAATGAGGAGAGGGTGTAGGCTAGGAGCGTGGGGCAGCCACTTCCTTCTAAGTCTGCTGTTGCCAGGCGGGACACGTGGGAACGCTGCTGTCTTTGTGCTCCAGGTCCTTTGCTTGTTGCAGATTGTTCGGGTCCCTATTCTAAAGTGTTGATGAGAAGTCTGTAAAAACTGGGGCTGGGTCAGAGATGGCTCAGTGGAGAAAGACACTAGGCCGAAGTCTGGCTAGTCTGAGAAGCTTGAGTTTGGAGAGAATCAATTTCTGGAAGTTGTGCTTTGTGCGTGTGTGTGTGTGTGTGTGTGTGTAAAAGAGATAGGTAGATAGATAGATAGATAAATATGATTCTTTAAAGCTGCAGGTGGCCTATTTCCCACCACTGAATATACTAAAACACGTTATTGTTTAATATTTTCAGGCTGATTATTCTCTGAAGTCTGACACATAGTACATGATTTGTACATGGGTAACAAATGAGTAGTACCATAGTCAAGAAACCAGAAAGGAGAATGAGGGCCTAAGTTAACATTGTATCTCATTCAGGGATTACTACCTTCGCTTTTTGTTTTTGTTTTTGTTTTTTAATGGAAAGTTGAATCTGAAAGGTTGAGATTGAACCTTGGGCACAGTGCTGCTCTGCAGGCAGAGAACCCATTGTTTGTTAGCTTCTTGTTGCTGACCAAAGTAGAGTGATTTGTTTAAGGCCTGAAGACTTCCATACCTATTTGCATTTGAGAACACCAATGAAAACAATATGTTTGCTTTGTTGATTGTTCATAGCATGCTAGGTTCTCTGCCTGCATGCGCCTCCCGGACTCCTACAACAACCTGTGAAGCAGGCCTCGTGCTGGTTCTTCCATCCTAACTCTTGAATGTCTGCATGTAGAGTTCAGCTCATGGCTCAGCGGTTCAAAGTGTGCTAAGGGTGGCCTTGAATGCAGCCCAACACAAAACTGTAACTTTACTTAAAACCTTCCGAGCATTGTTTTAAGAACTCCACTGGTTCTCAACAGTTATCAGTGTCATGTTGGGATGTCAAGAGGTTGGACTTGCCTGGAGGTTGTTTCCCCATCTGAAATAGACTGTGGCAAGTTGTGATCCTGCAGCCTGGAGAGAATACCACCTCAGCCCTCATCTGCACAGAGCCGCAAACAGGCCGAGTGTGTAACATTTGTCCGCTTCTGCAGTTCAAGCAGCACACCCTCCAGGGGCCTCCCTGTTGCTCGGCTTTCCATCTGGGCATTGCAGAGATGACAGTGACATCAGGCCCTAGCAGAAGCACTCAAAGTTCAGAAGTCAGGGCTGATGGCAAACACTGGAAGGTCTGTGAGGGGAGCTTTTGGCAGAGCTGGACTTGCATTAGGAAAAACAGGACCAACCATGGTATTGAGAGAAAAAAATCCTGTCTTATTAGTGACAGTATGTGACAGGATATTTAATACATATTAAGATTCTATGTAAATAGTCACAAAAAAATTGGAGACAATGTGAACTAAACATTTTGTAAACCCAGTAAGGTTGCTCAAAATATTGTTAACTCATTTTTCTTTCTTTCTTCTTCTTTTTTTTTTTTTTTTCTGTTTGCTTTGGTCTAGGAAATATTTAACAGAAAAATTATTTGTCAAGATTTTCCTTTGAGTTTTTAAATTTTTTTTTTTTTTTTTTTTTTTTGTTCGTTTCAGATGTCAGTCTACTTAAAGCCAGAATGTATTTAACCTTGCAATCAACATGCTGTTGTTCCCTTGAAGAGGGGAATGGTCTCATAATCTTTACCCCGCTGCCTACCTTTTTAAGGCCCGCTTCATCTCTGAGGAATCTGTGGCTTGACTGCACTAGTGGCCCTACTTCAAACCTCTGGCAAAGTTTCTTTGTTTTTCCTTGAGCTTCCTCCCCCCACCCCCATTTTGTTTTTCACCAAAATAATGAATGTCCCCAATCAGAAAACATTTCACGTCCTATGTCATTCAGTCTCAGGAATTACAGGCAAAGCGCTCCTCCATCTTCCCCGTGACTTCATCATCACGGCTTTCCCAGCAGGTCACCTTGGTTAGCATCTCCTTTGTTCCTCATCAGGAATTGTCTTTTGGGTTCAAGACATGTTGTTTTCCTCCCGACTTTCTGTCTTATTCCTGAGGGCTTCAGGACACATTGCTGCTGTGCAGACAGCCAATGCTTCTGGCCAGCTCCCTGTGGCCCTGTGTTGGCGTTCATCTTCTCCGCTCCCAAGCACCAGCCCAGCCCCTCTACCTTTCGTTATTCTTTCTAGCCCTTCCTGAGGCTGCAGCTAATATAGGCAGACTTCAGGCCATTTCAGAAGGCCTTGGCATGTGCAAGTTGCTGTCACTGTGGCCCCCCATCTCTTCTCTCTTCCCTGTCACTCTAGGCAGATACTTGAGGACTAGTCTAACCTAGTGGAAGTTAGCTGAGTTAGCTGAGTCTAACCTGTGGAAGGTTGGGAACTTCTCTGATTCCAGGAGTGATTTCCAGTCCACCAATATGAGAACCAAATGAACAACTGAGCATGCATGCTCACTATCTTTGTAAGTGTTCCAGAAGCCACAGATTCTCCCCCACCCCCTCCACCCCCGCTTTGGTTTTTTGAGACAGGGTTTCTCTGTGTAGCCCTGGCTGTCCTGGAACTCACTCTGTAGACCAGGCTGGCCTCAAACTCAGAGATCCACCAGCATATGGTGAGTGTGTCTTACTGTGGCTGGTAACGAGTCCTGGCCCTTAAGAAGCATATGATGCCGTTGGAAGGATGGACTAGTTGGTACAGATAGCTCACTTTACCTTGTGTAAGGGGAGGTGAGCCGTTCTCCACAGGCTACAGAGTGGGGATCTGGCCTAGTCGGAAGGTTGGGGAGGCTCCCCATCTCCAGATGTGAGTTTTAGGCAAGGCTATTTTAAAACTTGGGGCTTGCTGTTTTCCTCCAGCCTCCTGATCCTCTTAATTCACAACTATCTTTGACCCTTTGGAGCATTGTGTAACCCACGCTATAACCCCTGGGGCCATCTTGGCAAATGATAGTCTTGTCTACAGAGTCCAGAATTGATTTA